AAGGTGGGGGATGGGGGGGGGAAGGGGAATTTTTGGGGCACACCAGGGTGCCTGGATTTGGGTGGAAAAGCCAAAAAATAGGGATTGGAAAAGGATTTTGGGGGAGGGGGGAAACATCTTGGGAGGAGGAAGGAAGGAAATTCCTGGGAGGAATAATAAGGATTAAAATAATAATAATAATAATTAAAAAAAAAAACCAAAACACCCTTAAAACCTGAATCAAAGGGGAAGGAAAAAATGAAAAGAAAAGGGGAAAAGATCCCAAAAAATTCCAAGGGAAAATGGTGGGATCAGGAGTTGTTCTGGTTCTGGTAGATGGAGGCTTTTTCCTTCAGCAGGTCCAGACACAAGTGGCAGCTCCAGCTCCCTGGGGAGAGAAGGAGGTGTTAATTAGGGCTTAATTAAGGTGAGGGTTAATTAAGGGTGAGGGTTAATTAAGGGTGAGGGGTTGTTAATAAAGGGGGGGTTGTCTGGGGTTGTTTGGGGCACCTCGAGCTTTCCCCTGCCTCGTTAAGCTTTGAGGAGGGGGGGTAATTAATGAAGGGCTGGGTAATTAATGAAGGGCTGGTAATTAATGAAGCACTGGGTAATTAATGAGCAGTAAGGTGGGGTGTTGGGGGGTGTTTTTCTCTTCTTGGGGGGCAGGAAGAGGAGGGAGAAGAGGAAAAGGTTGAGGAGTCACAGGGAGACATTTTGGGGGGAATGAGACATTTTGGGGGAGAATGAGACATTTTGGGGGAGAATGAGACATTTGGGGGGAGAATGAGACACTTTGGGGGGAGAATGAGACATTTTGGGGGGAGAATGAGACATTTTGGGGGGAGAATGAGACATTTTGGGGGGAGAATGAGACATTTTGGGGGGAGAATGAGACATTTTGGGGGGAGAATGAGACATTTTGGGGGGAGAATGAGACATTTTGGGGGGAGAATGAGACATTTTGGGGGGAGAATGAGACACTTTGGGGGGAGAATGAGACATTTTGGGGCAGAAAGGCAGGATTTTGAGGTGCTCAAAGGTTTTTGAGCTTCTCCCCAGAAGCAGAGAAGGAATAACCAGGAAGAGCAGGAACGAGGGGACTCGATGGCACAACAGCCCCAACCCTCCCCTTGGGATGGAGGGGATGGGCAGGGCTGGGGAAGGTTCTGGGTTAAATTCTGCCTGTTTTGGGGCATTTGGGAGTTGGGGAAGGAGGAGGGGAGACCTGGGGGTTCCCACTCACCTTCTGGAGGCTCCGACATGGAGGGGGTGAGGCAGTACATGTGGTACCCACGGTCACAGTCGTCACAGAAGAGCAGCTGGTCCTGAGCCAAGGGGAGAAACTGGGATGATTCTCCCCCCAAAAAGCCTCTCCCATGTCCCACAGGCTCTTAAACTCAAGGATTTCTCCCCAAAAAGCCTCTCCTGTGTTCTCCAGACTCTCAAAACCAAGGATTTCCCCCCAGAAAGAATCTCTTGTATCTTCCAGACTCTTAAAATCCAAAGATTTCTACCCAAAAAGCCTCCCCTGTGTCCCAAAGATTCTGGGGGGTCCCTCCCCCAAAGGGGGTCTCTCCCTTCCCCCCAGGGAGTCCCTGCCTCCAAGGGGGTTATTCCACTCCCCCCGGGGGTCCCTCCCCTCACCCCACGGGGTCCCATCCCTCACTCTGGGGGGTCCCTCCTCTCTCCCCAGTGAGTCCCCCCCTTCACTCCAAGGGGCTTATTCCCCTCACTAGAGGGGTCCCTCCCCTTCCCCAAGGGCTCCCTCTCCCCAGGGGGTCCCTCCCCTTCTCCCGGGGGGGTCCTTGCCCCCACTCTGGGGGGTCCCTCCCCTCCCCCCAGGGGGGTTCCTCCTCTCACTCTGGGGGCTCCCTCCCCTTTCCCCCAGAGGGTCCCTCCCTTCACTCCAAGGGGGTTATTCCCCTCACTCTGGGGGGTCCCTCCTCTCCCCCCAAGAGCTCCCTCCCCCAGGGGGTCCCTCCTCTCCCCCCGGGGGGTCTCATCCCTCACTCTGGGGGCTCCCTCCCCCCGGGGGTCCCAGCCCCCCAAGCCTCACATCATTCTCAGAGGTGCCACAGATGTTGCAGCACTTGCACTCGATGCACTGCCAGCGGTAGGTCTTGACGGCCGCCATCATCACCGGGGTGAACTGCAGGCAGGAGGGGTGCCCTGCAGGGCCAAAAGAAAACAAACAGGGGGTGCTGTACTGACTGACACCCCCCAAAAAAACCACCTCTCTTTCCCAAGCCTTTTTCCAAGCTTGGAAAAAGGGTTGGTTGGTCAAGTTGTGCCCCCTGTACCTGATCGCCCGCAGTCGGAGCACGAAACCAGCTCCTCTGGTTGTCCCGTTTTCTTGTTGATTTTGGAGTCTCCCAGGCAGAAATCACAGTAGTTGTTGGGAAGAGCCAACCCATCAGGTCCTTTCTTGGCTGGAAAAGAGGAGCAGGGAAGTTGGGATTAGTCAAGGGGTGGCTCCATGTCCTACTTCTGCAGTGTCCGCAACGTTGGAAGGATATTTGAGCTCATGGAGAGGCCACGGGGGTGATCCAAGGGTTGAGAACATCCCTGATGGAGACAGGCTGGGAGAGTTGGGATGTTCAACTGGAGAGGATCCAGGGAGACCTTGGAGCACCTTCCAGTGCCTGAAGGGGCTCCAGGAAAGCTGGGGAGGGGCTTGGGACAAGGGCACAGAGGGATGGGATGAGAGGGAATGGATCAAAACTGGGAGAGGGAGATTGAGGTTGGACATGAGGAGGGAATTCTGGAGTGTGAGGGTGGGGAGACCCTGGGACAGGTTGGCCAGGGAAGCTGTGGAAGCTCCATCCCTGGAAGTGTCCAAGGGTTGGATCTGGGCTTGGAGCAACCTGGGCTGGTGGGAGGTGTCCCTGCCCATGGCAGGGGCTGGGACTGGGTGGTCTTCAGATCATGGAATGGTTGGGAGGGACCTTCCACACCACCTGGATGATCCACTAGATGATCTTCAAGGTGGGTGCCCCATCCCTGGAAGTGTCCAAGGTTTGGATGGAGCTTGGAGCAACCTGGGCTGGTGGGAGGTGTCCCTGCCCATGCAGGGGGTTGGATCTAGATGATCTTCAGGGTCCTTCCCACCCAAACCATTCCATGACTCCATAGATGGGCCCTGGAGCAACCTGGGCTGGTGGGAGGTGTCCCTGCCCGGTGGGAGGTTGGATCTAGACCTTCTTTAAGGTCCTTCCCACCCAAACCATTCCATGATTCCATGATCCTATGAAGTTTTCCTGCACAAAACCAGGAGAAAACCACTTCCATGGCACCAAGCCCACCACTTGGAGCAGCTTCTCCAGCTTTTCCAAGTGCCCAAACAAACCCCAGGGAAGGGAACCCTGCTGCTTGGGGGGTTTATCCTGTTGTCCCAAGGGATTGTTGAGGATGATGGGGGTATTTTTCCTTACATTTCTGCTCCTCTGATCGCTGCGAGACGGGAGTTGGGGGTTGGGAATCATCTTTGTCATCTCCTTCCTCCTCAGCCAGGTGGGAATGAGCATAGTGGTAGCTCAGTCCTGGTCTGTTCTTGTAACGTTTCCCACAGACTGTGGATTAAAAACCAAAAAGTTGGGAATAGCCTGAATTGATTCCAGGAAGGAGGGAGATCCCACCTCCCAAATCATCCGGCGTCCCCTGGTCCCATCTCTGGGGCTTGGAGAGCAGATGGTTGCTCCTCAAAATCACCTGGAATGGGTTCAAACCACCCAAAAGATCCTAAGGAAATGGGTTGGATTCTCTGGAGCAGCTGGAGAGGAACCAGAGTTCCCACTGGAGCTGATGTGGTGGGTGATGGGACATCCATCCTGACCTTCAGAGGAGCTTTGGAGCCCTCAGGAAAGGAACCAAAACCCACCTGGGGATCAATCCAAGTGGGAAAGATCCTGGAGGAGAAGATTTCCCACCCCAAAAACCAGCCAGGGGAAAACAAACCCCAAAAACTCCAGGTTGTCTCCAATGGGCATGAAGGGAAAAGCTTTTTGGGGATCCTGAGGGATAGAGAAGCTGTTTGTACGCTCCTTGGATCCACCTGGATCCTCCAACCCTGACCCGAGGGTGCTGTGAAATCCAACCCCCAACCCCAAATGCTCCCAATTTTCCCACTTTTCACCTCATTTCATGCAGGGTTGGGAGCTTTCACCCTCAGTCTGGCAGTGGGTGATTCCTCAGGGAGACCTTGGGAGTACCCATGGAGCTGGGAAGCAACTTCCCTGCCAGGGAACAGGCTCCCAACTCCCCCTCATTCCCTTTCCAGGGTGGTTTTTGGAGCTTTTTAGCCAAAAAAAAAACCCTTTTATCCCCAGATCAGCAAAGGAAGGATGAGGAGGGAAGAGGTGGGAGGCTGAGGGGACACCAGGATGGGGAACCAGGTGAGATTCCCCCCTGGAAAAGCCAGAGGTGGATTTATGGGGAGCAGGGGATGGATTTGGTGATGAGTTTTGCCTTATTTTTTTCACATCATTGAGATAAAACCAAGAAAAAAATGCTTTGGGATGAGATTCCCTGAGCCTGGAGTTTTCCTGGAACATCCTGCATTTTTCCAGATCTGCTTCCAAGCTTCTTTCAAGCCTGGAGAAATCCCACCAGGGTTTGGATCCCTTCTCATGCTCCAAAAATAGAGGTGGGGGGAGCAGCCCATCTGAAGCCCATAGAGAGCCCAATACCAGCTGCTGGCACTGGGTTTTTGGGGGATAAAATTCCCAGTTTCCCTAGGGAAAGGGATCTGGAGGGTGTTTGCCCCATTTCCCTGAGGGAAAGGATCTGGGGGGTTTTGCCCCATTCCCTTGGGAAAGGATCTGGGGGGTTTTGCCCCATTCCCTTGGGAAAGGATCTGGGGGGTTTTGCCCCATCCCCTTGGGAAAGGATCTGGAGGGTTTTGCCCCATGCTCTTGAGGAAAGTTCTCAGAAGCTCCAGAGTGGTTGGAGCTCATGAAAAGAAGGGAAAAACAAGCTCAAAATCCCCCGTGGCAGCAATTCCAACCTTCCAGCTTTTCCAGAGCCAAGCCAGGGCACAGTGGGGTCGGCCCCGTGAGCGGCCACGTGGATCTTGGCATGTTCTTTCCTCCCCCCCCTTTTTTCCTCTCCATCCTCCCACAGGGTTGAAAATTGACCTTTTTCCTCCCCAAACCAGGCAGGCTGGTGTCTAAACACGACTCAGGTTCCCTCCTCATGAAGGCTGAGGAAGAGGAGCTGCCAAGGGAGGCAATTTCCACTTCTCTGTGGGGTTTTTTATTCCTCAAGATCCAACCTGCCCAGCCCAAGTGGTTTGGGGCTTCAGGTTTAAACGTGGGGGGTTTGGGGGTTATTTTGGGGGAGTTTGGGGTTATTTTTGGGGAGGTTGGAGTTATTTTGGG